CAAATCCATAATTCGATCAAAACCTGACTACAGAGCCATCGCCTACAACTCCTCAAAAAAAAACACATTTGAAGTCACTGGATATTATCCAAAATAGATGTCTATGTATTTCTTTAGATGCTCACTACACAAGTCTCATTCAAAGTCTCTATTGGGAAAGTGGAGAACCTCTTTTTTTCAGAAAACAATATCTAAGCCTAACATATGCAGCGGCAGTGTCATCAAACCGAAATAATCCAGTACTGCATAACGTTTTTGCTGATCGATTTACAAATAAATTTGAACAAACACATCAAATTGATCATCCTTTTTACTTTCGTATACAATCATACTTATCCAAACTAAATTTTCAATTTGCAAAAACCTATGATACCTCTTCAATCCACAACCCTGCACCATGGACAATATCTATTCCTGCTATCGACATCAGCCTAACAAATCTAAAAAAATCAGAGATATCATCAACCGCCTTTAAACAAAAGTTTCATACAATATTAAACAGATATGGCAATACCTGCAACATATACACCGATGCGTCAAAAAATGAAGACAGAGTTGGAGCAGCAATTTATTCGCAAGACTCCTCAGTTAGTTTCAAATTGTCATCAATGACAACCATCTTTTCAGCTGAATTATTCGCAATTCTAAAGCACTATCATTAATACAAAACAAAAACAAAGAAAGATGTATAAGAATCACAGATTCTCCAAGTTCATTATCCTCACTGACTCAATTGTACTGTGACAATCCCCTTCTACTTATTATTAAAATAGAACTTAAAAACATTTCAGATAAGAACATCCAAGTTCACTTTTTATGGGTGCCTTCTCATATCGGAATTGAAGGTAACGAAGTTGTAGATAAGCTGGCTAAAAACGCACCAACTAACCCGATGTCCGAAGAAAGTAACATATTGGTACAAAACTATTTAAAACCATACTTAAAACAAAAAATAATTCAAAAATGGCAACAAACTTTCAACAACACTCCATCAAGGCTATACGAAGTCAACAAACATCCACATCATTGGAAACCAAAAATAAAAGACAGAAGAGAGCAAGTGATACTTACCTGTCTCCGTATCGGCCATACACGACTTAATGACTATTTATTACAGCGCAAAAATAAACCAGTGTGTGAAGTGTGCACCAGTGATCTAACGGTAAAACATTTTTTAATACAGTGTCCCAAATATAACAATGAACGACTCAAATATAGCATAACCAACTCCCTAAGAGATGCCCTAGAAGAAAATACAGATACCCGAAAAATATTTTCCTATCTTAAAACTGCCAACTTCTTCAAAAGATCTAAAACGTGCGTTTTAACACACATACATATTATTATTATTATTGTAAACTAATGTATTTTCACATATTGTATCAACTGTCACATTAATCTAAATACGCTAATAACCCTGAGTGGTTGATGCGTTAATAAAACAAAAAAAAATATATGACACAAAATCTGACACCAGGGATAAAATTTGTACAGTTTATTTACTAACACATTGTAATGTAAATGTATAGGTATATCTACCAATAGGCGCCACCTATTGGTAGATCTACAAAGTTTTGTTGTAACTTTGTTAGCGCGTTGCTATTAAGCATAGGCAACTCAATGGACTCTCAATTAGAGACAACTCAAAAATATATTCAAAATAGTATGAAATCAAATAAAAATAAAGGAAGACATGAATATGATGTTAAAGCTCACCTAGAGCAGCATGGGAGTACCAGCACTGAAAAGTTCTCGTGAATAATGGGCAAATACAAATGGAGAGCAAGCTGAAGAAACCTGTTGAAGCACACCATCCTCTTTACGCCAGTACCAGTGAAGAGCAGATCTAAGCCACAAGTGCACAGAATACTGAAGCCCATGGCCAGCATCGAGATAATAAAGTAAATAATGAAGCCAGATATCGTCGAGTAGTAGTCTCTTACCGCGCAGCAGCCAATACTTTACAGGATTCCTATGCATCCTTTCTTGAAAACGAACAACTGTTCCCGCCCTTACCATTTGAGGTAGCAGGAACACAATATGTTAGTTTTGTGGATGAAAAAACATCTCGAAAGAAAGACCAACCAAAAGTTAGAGTTCAAGATAATTATTTCAAATATTTTACCAAAAGTCTAAGATTAGTTAAAGATCCAAGAGAACTGTTGTCAACCCAAGAATTTACAGTGTTCCTTGCATAGTATAGGATAGTTGTGGTTCAGTGTATATTGGAACAACAAACCATACTGTAAATTGTTGTTTCACTGAATACAAGAAAGAATGTCTTGGTCACTTACGAAAAGAAGCTGTTGCAAAACAAACCATAAGACAAGACAACCACCAAATTGTATTAAAAAAGCACAGTTACATAGTAAAACATCTCACTGCTATTCACGGATGTTTAAAGAGGCTATGTAAATTCACAAAAGGTCAATTAACTTTAATTGTAAAGAAGAATATTTGCATCTAAACTGGATGTGACCCTCAATACTATGAAATACAAAACCTCTTCCTGTTCCAGACGCATCGAAAATTGCAATGTCGATTCGGGCCAACTGACAGATCCAACAGTTAAAAATACCCAAGATCATCACTAAGTCATACGAGCAACAAATTTCTAACAGTGTTTACCAACGGAGCCAAAGTTACCGATCAGTCTCTACTTTGCTGAGTGATAAATTTGTAACCGCGCTAAAATGTTTGTTCTGTAAACTCTGCTAGATGAAAACAAATGTAATGAATACACAGAATAACAGAAGAATTTTCGATCACAATTTTCTCACTGCGTAACTTAGAAATAAATAACAATGGACCTACAACTTTTGTTTTTTTGTCTTCTAATGAAAACTATACTACATTCCCAAAATGTATACATAACTTCCTACTTTATCTCACTATATTTTATTTTTATTTTAACAGTACTGAAGTTTTGTTATTACTGCATCAAAATTGAGCCACGCTTGTCTCCATACTCCATCAATATTTGTAAACCAATTTCGATTTTGCTTCATTTTTTTTTAATTGTTCGTAAGCATTTGTAACTATCAACTTTAATATTTGTTCAATTATTTGAAGATTTTCCTTTGTTTTGTTGTCTGATAAAATATAAAATCAAATATTAATAGTGAAATGTGGAAATAATAATGACCAATCCGTTAATAGTATTTTAAGGTCTCTTTTTCTGAACATGTCAGTTACAATACTATAAATAGTCTACAAATAGCATGTAAACACTATGTTAGTGATATAAGTGGTGCTGCCAATAATTTTTTTTGTTCTTATTGCTGTGGTACACTTACCACGTCATTTGTTAGTTTCACCATTGTCCAAACTATTTTCTCCAACGGTTCGCCATTTATTTCGTGGAAAACTATATCTACGACAGTTTGAGTCATGTTTTGAAAAAAAAAAGATATTTTTTATTTTTTCTCAACGCGATAACAATTAATTAACGATTTGATCTGGGCAGATCTGTTTTGAGGAGAATTTGTGTATAAAAAAGTGGTTTTTATAAATCCGAAAAAAAAAAAACTAGCTCTAATTTAGTTGTTATTTCAAGTACAGTATATCAACTCTATCAGGCAATATTTTAAATATAAGATGAATGTTTTATAAAAATATGAATCTATGATCTTAGAATGATACTTATAGCAGTCAACAAAAAGAGAACGAGTAGACTAGAAAAAGCTCATAATAACCAGAAAACTTGTAAGAATGCAATTTTTACTGGGATTAAAATTATTTAGGAGTTATTCTTTTAATATATGCATAATAATAATACACTAAAGGCCTATTCAACTGTTATCTTCCATAAATTATTTTTAATCCATGAGTTAAGTATCTTTCAACAAGTTTATATAATTTGTTTACATTTTAGAATATTCATATTAAAATTTGATCTATGTAAAACCATCTCTATGTTACATTTTAGTAGTTAAAAATGCGTGGCCCCTCAGATTTATATGGAACATTAGCAACAATAGATAATCTGGACTAACCTATAAATTTGGAATTTAATAACAGAAATTGCGAGTTTATAGAATATCGAAGCTGAAATTATTGACAATACATTATAAGAGTTAAGAGGACCAACCATGTAGACATTATAACGTGTCCAAAGCTGGTTGTTATATTTTGTCTAATTTTTGTTTATTTTTTTAAATTTTATAAAAACCCTCAGTGTATAAATTTAATTTTGGTGAAAATTTCTCAAGAAATAACTTTTTCCTTCAAAATAATAACATTTTTGGGCATCCTGTTGGTAGCATTATAAGTTATTGCATCTGTAACATGAAGCAATAAGTATTTTATCAAGGAGTGTGATATACTTTTGCCAGATGTGATCTGGAATTTATGTTTCTTCCTTAAGTTTCGTCTAGTGATCTATCAGTATGACAGAGTACATCTATGCTCACTCCTGCAATGCCTCTATGCAACGCTTCTGCAGTTGTACACAAAATGTCAGGAAAAACATAAATTCCAGACGTCTGCCTATAAATTCAGAGGTTTATAACTAAACTATTTTCAGAACTAAATGTTTGAGAGTTATATTAAAATATCAGTATGAATTTAAAAATGGTACTAGTATTATTCTTCAAACTGTCCATAATTTCAGCTTTATATTTGTATAAATGGGCCTAAATTAAAGAAAAAAATAAAAGAAATATAAATTACGAATATCACACATGTTTTGCAATTAAAAGAATAATCCTTGAGAATATTAAAAAATTATATACAGAATCTTCATAAAGTTCTGCGATTTGAATACATATCTACCACGAAACAATCAGTCATATTCCAGATTTATCTGTAGGTCGAAAAATAAATATATGTGTTAAAAATAAAAGCTATAATACATAACCCAAGAAACATTCTAATATTAAAAGTTGTACAAAATCGTCCTGATTAAAAGACAAACATTTCATCCTTCATCACTCACAAAAATATGGTTACTAAAACTTCAAGTATGTTCAATGTGAACACTCTCTAAAGCTATGACATACCCGTATAGGTAGTAGAAAAAGCTGAGTAAGTAGAAGGCTAGCTTGACCCATCCCTCCCTTTGGCACCTCGTAAGTACATCTGCATTCATGATGCTTGTAGGATCATATATTCCATAACCTGACATCACTGGACGTGTACGATACCTATTGAAATGGTAGGCGATCAGAGGTATATTTAGACAAAGTGAAAACCATTCTCCTGATGCGGCAAACAAGATGTTGAAGAGTAGATGGAGCAGGTACTCTGGCAACACAAGCTGAAAAATAAAACATAAAATTAATTATCCAGTCAAAAATTGCATTTTTGCATACATAAAAATTATATTTAAGGTACAAATAATCAAAAATTTAAGTTTTACTATGAGATCCTGAAAAGAAGGCGAAATAGAAACAGAACTAACACATGAAGACATATATTGAAGACATATATGAAGACATAAATATTAAGTTGTTGTCAAATATGTTTGTTTATAATGGGCTATGTTATTTGCTCAATTTTTCTTTTTCTTTATTATATATTAGTATATACTAATCCCTTTTTTAATTTAATGCATTTTTCTTTTTAAGTATATATATGGATCAACCTATTAAATTTCTGGCTTAAAATTGTATACCTTTATTTTGTTGTTCTACATTTATAAATATCCATTAAATGAAACCATTTACATAAAACCAAGGTAATTATTTGTACCTAGGATTATTCATAAAATCATTTTCTAGGTTTATAAATTATACTACATGCTCAACACAATGTGTCCTTAAATTTATGCCTATAAAAACTAAGTTATTAGTTATTGTAATAAGAACATACATTTACAATAATTCTTTACTATAAGAATACTTACCGGGTTTAGACTATTACATTGATCAATAGGATTTTTGTAATCAGTTTTTAATTCATCGAATGCTATTACGTGAAATAGCGAGAAAAATATCAAAAAGGCGTCGACTATTAAAGCAATTATATAAGAAAATGCTGGAAAATTGAATGCCATTATTCCAATTTAATTTTAACAATGTAAATTAAAAATGACAATTTTTAATAACTCAACAACCGGAGGTTAGAGTTCAGTTTTGACAGTGACAAATGACAAAAATGACATACTGCAAATCCACTTTCATGTGATAGGCCTTCCCAAATTCCAGTACTTAACGTGACGTAATATAAATGTTAATTCATACATAGAAATAAAATTAGAATCCTGATATAATTTTAATAAATTTTAGAACAAAAACAGTTTCCAAAAATACAAAGACAAGTTTTAAAATATACAAGAAATGAAGGTACTAGTGTAATAATCCGGAACCATGTTTACGGAGATGAAATTTATATCAATGAATTCTGCTTCACTAAATTATTGTTGATACAAAATTAGTATTTAAAAATTGCTGTTTTTGGAAAGGAGCTAAAAAATATTTATTCCAGGTATTGAAAAGTCACACAAATGCTCATCTCTACTTTTGAATCCTATGCCTATACACGATACACTCAACTAATGATGGTGCCTATGACATAACCAGAAAACTGTTCGTAGTTTTCTGACATAACACAGAATCTTGTGTCAAATGTCAATCGAATCTAAAGATAGGTTAAAAGTTTGTTTATGTAAACTGTAATTCTTGTGTACTAATTATTATTTAAAGAATATTTGGTAAATTGTGAATGATTAATTGATAATTAAGGCAATAAAAATATCAAAATGCATCGGCGCGGTGGTAAAAGAATCCGGATGGACGATCCTCCTCCTGAATATGAAAATCCTATGATGACTCCTCACTTGGAGCAGGATAATTATGGAGGGAATTATATGCAACAAAATCTTTATGGCGATAATAGTTATGCTGATCAATCTGCTGATTTTGAATCGCCCCCAACACCTGGTATGCGAAGAGTTACTAGGTCTAAAGCTAGAGGTTTAAACAATCCTCCACCAGCTCCTGTCATATCTCCATCTTATTCACCACCTAGTTCGGGCACAAGAGGAAGAGGTAGAGGTAAGAAATAAGATTTTAAAGTTTCTTTGAAGCAGATGTAGGAAGGATTATATTTGATAATTGGGTATTTGTTTACATTAGTAAGAGTCCCTAAAAATGTGAATTTTTGGTGGAAGCTACTAAAAATTACTAACACAAACACTTTTTTATCCCTTAGGTCGACCACCAGGTAGAAAAAATACTGTAGGGGAAATCATACATAGCAGAGATGATGATGACTCTTTATATCATACAATCAAAAATAGCAAAAATTCCTTGGCTCATATTGTTGATGACTGGATAGAGAGCTACAAACTTAATAGAGAAGCCGCACTGATCTCTCTTATGCAGTTCTTCATAAATGCGTCTGGTTGTAAAGGCCGCATTACTCAGCAAATGCAAGCCTCCATGGAACATGCTGCAATTATCAGAAAAATGACTGAGGAATTTGATGAAGAAAGTGGTGAATATCCCTTGATTATGGCAGGACACACTTGGAAAAAGTTTAGACAAAATTTTTGCGATTTTGTACAAACGTTAGTGAAACAATGTCAGTATACTATTATATATGATCAGTTTTTAATGGATAATGTTATCTCTTTACTTACTGGATTGTCAGATTCCCAGGTAAGAAAATCATTTAATTTTGGTAGATTGTAATTAGAACATATAATATTTATATTTTTATAATGAATTTAGTATGATTTTAAATAGAATTCATGTACTTTTCTTTGCCAATCATGTATATTCTACAATTATAAAGTTTCAAGAATGTCTAAAAATTTGTCAGTTTCAACTAAAATTAGTTTTTAATGCAATTATTCAACCTCACTTCATTTTTTGCTTATCAGTTATTTTTCTATTCAATTTAAATCAATCGGCCTAGTTGTTAAAATTAGCATGCTGCAGTGGATTTTAGTTCAAAAAAGGATCTTTTACCTTACAATGATGTTCACTTATATAATTTTTAAATAATTTGGTTCTTGCTTACTTTTGCGACTTTATTATGCGAATTGTGATATTCACAATTACCCTACTTGAGGTAATTGTAATTTACACATTGTGAAAACAAAAAAGGATGGCTTCAAGAAGTTCTTTATTGTTTACGGGTTTTGATCTTTTTAATAAGTTTCTTCAAACTGTTAAACGTTTAAGATATTGATAATAAACTCTATCCCCTTAATCAGTAGTTACAACTTGTTTTTAATGTATTTTAAAGTTTGAATGATGATTAGCTATATAACTTTTATAGGTCAGAGCATTTAGACATACTGCAACTCTGGGTGCTATGAAACTAATGACAGCTCTAGTCGATGTGGCGCTGACAGTCTCTGTAAATTTAGATAACACTCAACGACAATATGAAGCTGAAAGACAAAAAACAAGAGAGAAACGTGCTAGTGACCGATTGGAAGCTTTGCTGGCCAAAAGACAGGAATTAGAAGAAAATATGGACGAAATAAAGAACATGTTGACTTACATGTTCAAATCTGTTTTCGTACATAGATATAGGGATACATTACCAGAAATTAGAGCCATTGCTATGACAGAGATTGGAGTTTGGATGCATAAATTTCATGCTAACTTTTTGGATGACTCTTACCTAAAGTATATTGGTTGGACTTTGCATGATAAGGTAATATTATTATTATTACATTTGTAATTGTTTCCATGTGAATTTGTTACTTTAATAGCAGGAATAAAATATATATGTTAAAACGGACCTTAATTGGGAACATATTTTATTAAAATCTATTTGTAGGTCGGTGAAGTACGTTTAAGATGTCTGCAAGCTTTGCAACCTTTATATGCAAGCGAAGAACTAAAAGGAAAGCTGGAACTTTTCACAAACAAATTTAAAGATCGTATAGTTGCTATGACTCTCGATAAAGAATATGAAGTTGCAGTTCAGGCTGTCAAATTAGTAATTTCCATTTTGAAACACCACCATGAAATATTGACTGATAAAGATTGTGAACATGTCTATGAATTGGTAAGATTTGCTATGTAGTATGATTGATCTATTTAATGTGCTGTGTGTAGCGTGTCATTGTAGTTTCAGGTAATGAATAGTCCATTTGATCTCCTTCCATTTTCTTTTGAATTATACATTGTTGTTTAAATAACCTAATAAAAAACTTATATCCTAATGACGGATCTAGAAAATCCAATACTTTCAATTTTCAATTCTGGAAGCAGATTAAAAAGTCTCCTTATCTTGTAATGAGTGATGATTTTGTCAGTAATGGTTTAGAAATTCAGCTTAGAATGTCTAATATTATTTGCCTTTCATTTGGAATATTTGCATTCATTGTCATATAGACCATATTGATGAATTGGTTGGATAACAACATAGCTCTTGGTTTATAGGAAGATGACAGGCAACATTGTTCTTCTTTTAAGTTGAATATAATTTGAGTGCGATATACGTTGGTGTGCCTTAGTGTATGCTACTTTTCTAATTTCCTTTTAATAGTTTTGTATATTTATTTAATTTATTTACAATATATTATTTTAGTTTTTTTCAATTACCGGAATATAACTGGTTTTGAAACCTAGTGTAATACCGTTTATCGTTTTGTTGTTTATACTTAACATTTTAGGTCTATTCATCACATAGAGCTGTTGCGCAGGCAGCTGGCGAGTTCTTAAACGAACGCCTCTTCCAACCTGGAGACTTAGATTCCGGGAAAACAAAAAGAGGAAAGCGACGCCTACCTAACACTCCGTTCATACGAGATCTTGTGCAGTTTTTCATCGAATCTGAACTTCACGAGCATGCCGCATACCTGGTCGATTCTCTTATAGAGTCAAACACTATGATGAAAGACTGGGAGTGTATGACTGATTTGTTACTGGAGGAGCCAGGCGTACATGAAGAACCATTAGATAACAGACAAGAAACGAGTTTAATTGAGATTATGGTATGTTGTGTGAAACAGGCAGCGACCGGAGAAGCGCCAGTTGGCCGAGGACCCACTAGAAAGATGAGTTCAATACGAGAAGTGAAACAGGTAATACATTATTATTTTGCTTGTGTAAATACAGTTTATTAATTTATTTATATATTTATTATATTATATTAAAAAATATATATATCCTTACTAATACCACTGTACACTCCTTTTGGAGACTTTATTTCTGTAAATATTCCAATAAATATTCTATTCCATTTAATTTTATTAAATAATTTTTAATTTTTAGGCTGGAGAAGATAAACAAAAACTAACCGAGCATTTTATAGTAACTTTACCTCAACTGTTGGATAAATATTCTGCTGATCCTGAAAAATTAGCAAATCTATTAAGTATACCTCAATATTTTGATTTAGATTTATACACAAGTGGAAGACAAGAGGGATCACTTCAAGCACTTTTAGTGAAACTGAAATATATTGTTCAAGTTCAACACGAACCAGAGGTTAGTATTATTTTAGCTAAAATATTGTTTGGTATAGATTTAATTGATAATAACTGAAACGAAACTAGCAATAAAGGAGAAAAAATAAGCAAATTTTGTGCTCTATTGTGGAAAGTTATTGTTGTCTACAAGTTTAAATAATCTACTATAATTTAAGCGTTATTAGCGGCGTAAAACATCAATGAGGTTACGGGCGGTATGATCTTTTTGATTCTTTAGAAAAATCCTCCATTCTTCTTTGTATCTTCACCCTTTAACACTGGTAGATTTGGTATCATCATCTAAGTTGTTCATGTACCTAAGTTTCGGTTTTCCTGAGAATATGAGAATATCGAATTACTGTTTCGATCTCAAGGTTAAATATAAGAGACGATAGTCCATCTACCTCTCATCTCCCATATTATTCTGTACTGGTTCTCTGTGCCTTTGATTAATAGGTCTGTTGGTAGACCTATTACTGTTATTAAGACTCTATTTGAAACTCCAGCATGGCCTAAAGTAATTTACGTCTATATACTGGAGTATACTGAACTTGAGAAACATAAAAGAAAATTGCATAGAGGAAACCTGTGAGAAAATAAAAATAGCCATAGTCGAGGCTGACGAAGTAGTCTCAAGTAAAATAAAAAGAAATCACAAAACGAGTGGATGATGGAAGAGATACTTGATCTAATGGAGCAACGCACGGAGTACAAAATACATTAAAATCAACAGGAATACAAGGAAATACAACGTACGATAAGGGCAAGAATAAAAACGCAAAGGAAAGCTGGATGAAAGAACGTTGTGAAGTGAGCATACAAGAATTGGTAAAATTTGACAACAATGTTTAAGGCTTCAAATCTAAAAACTTTGTACAGTCAAGCATAGAAGAGAGAAATATTTAGGGAGGGAGACAAATAGGACGAGACAAAAAGCGACAGAGAGACATATAGAGAGGAGGGGACGCATGCAGAGACATACAGAGTGACATACAGAGGGAAACAGAGAGAAATAAAGGAGACGTCAGAGTGAGCGAGAAAAGAGAGAGAGAGAGGAACAGAAGATAAAATGAGGATCAGAGAGGGAGAGGGAGATACATATACCGCCGCATGTTAAGAATATCCTGGATTGATCATTGCACTAACTTATCGATACTAAAACAACTTAAAGTAAAGGATAGGTTGCTTAAACAAATACAACAGAGATATTTGCAGTATTTTGGACACATTACTAGAAGAACAGGCACGATGGAAAAACTGATAGTCGAGGGTAGAGTTGAAGGAAAAAGATCTAGGGGAAGATATCTCCAAGCTGTTGGGTAGATCAAACAAAAACATTGATTAACCAAGGGTTACATGAAGCCGAACAACTAGCCCAGGACAGAGAAGGATGGAGGGAAATCCTAAAAAAACTGTGAAGGCTGATGATGTCACCACATCCCAAAAGGGATTAGGACTGAGGAGGACCCATATATTTTAGTGGCTCATAGCATGTATACTTTGTTGCACTGATGATGGAATTTACATTCCGAAAACGTTCTGTAGTGTAATTGTGATACAGTCCGTTTGAGTATTTTATTATATACCTTTTATAAAGGATTTGAAATAAAAAATTTTTGTGTGTTCCTTACAAATCGGGTTTCCACAATTTGGCTTTTAGTACTTTGTCTGAGTTTTTCGGTTCTTCCTCTTAGGATAAGAGGCACATTTATTAGATTCACGTTTCAATTCTAGAGGCTCTACTTCATCTCGAATTCCTAATTGGTCCTTTGGTAAAAAGATACAAATTAAAAATGGCAATAGCTTCCTAACCTTACAATAATGTTTTAATGATATAATTTAAACTTACCCAAATATTAAACAAAACATGAAAGTTTCATTGAAATTACAAAAACGTGATTGCACGCGCAGTGAGGAATACCCTCACATAAAGAGGGCTGTCATTTCGTTCATTATGCCTGAAATATTCTGAAACGTTGCTAAGTAACGAGTGAGTGTCACTACTTAAAGAATCAGACCACTCACTGACTCAACCGTATAAATACTATACTTAAACTTTAATTTCTAATTAATAATATTAATTTCTATGAAGCGTTTAAATTATTTTGGCAATGTGACTAGAATGAGAGATGGTGTCAAAATTCCTTGAACAAAATATATAGAGGAATAATGCTTTGAGCAGGTCGGATCAAATTTAGATTATATTACTTATCTCTTTAAATTTAACACGTTAAGTGCCATATGAGATCAACATGTTCTCCACATGAAGCCACTCTGGTCTCATCATTCATGTCAAAAAAAGTATCATGGCCTATGAGACCTTTTTATTTATGTGTATGGGGGCATTCAAAACTATAAACTCAAAAAACCTCTAAAAATATTAAAAATCAATCATATCAAAACTTTTTTAGGTTTTGGAAACATTAGCAAAAACTTTGGAAACCGTTTGCACAGAAGGTCACTCTATTTTTACCAAGTGTGATGTGGCCAGATCGACTATTATCGATATGATTGTTGCTTCGTATAAAGAAGCCATCGATGATTGGAGAAATTTGATGCTTGGCGAAGAAACTCCCAATGCGGATGAAGTGTTTAATGTAATCAGTTCTCTGAAAAAACTATCGATGTTCTATGCTTGTCATAATTTAAATAGCTGGGGTTTATGGAATACCATGTTTCAGGATGTACAAGTAAGTTATACTCTTGTTTTTATATAAATATTTTTTAAAATTATACATAGTTCCCTAATACAGGCTCACTAGATTTTTTTTAATTACATACAAAGGTTTTCCTTTGTTTACATTGTTTTTCTTTAAGTGAAATACTTGAATATCAAATAGTGACTACATAAATCAGACTTTCAACTTTTTGTGAATTTTTCGAGTATTAACATCATTCAAGAATTGTAATTTGTTTACTTTTATTTCATTTTTATTAATTGTTGTCTTGATCGCAGTGGTTAATTAGTTACTTAGCAGTATGACATTTTCTATAAAATATTCATAAGAATATTTTATAGAAAAGAAAAGAATTCTGGTTCAAAGTACTTCACTTTTCTTTATTTAGTTCTTAACATGGTAGATTGAAGATTACTATAGTATGATCAACTTATAACAACTATCGAGCTATATGTTTAATAGGAGTATTAATATTATTAATTAATTAATTAATATTATTTTTTATAGGATTCTGAGACTAACTTGCCTCCCGAAGCCCTTAAGTATTGCTTAAGTTCCTGCTACTATTACCTTTTATGGGGTCTTAGAGACTTGGAGGTAGCTGTCGAAGGAGGTGGTTTAACTCACTCTGGAATTCAAGACATGCGAGATAAACTGGACGATTTCATTGAAGCTTCACAAATGCTCATTAAGTCTTCACCGCATATTTTAATCAAGGTATGTATATCAGTTTTTTACATTAGACTTACGAATATTTTTAATTATCGTATTTTATCAATATTTTCATTGAATTTAATATATCGCCTTCCTCTTTTTCTGTATGTATGTTGTCTGGTGCCCTTGGCATTAGCAATCATCTGCACATGTTTAAAAAGTTGGTTAGCACTGCTGATACCCATCAAATGGCTAAGATTCTTCAACAGGGGGGGTTAACTTGAATAGTCTTGTCAACGACAACGTTTTTAGTAATATTTTCTAGCACAGATGTCACTCTAGGTAATTGTTGATGGTGACCTGTAATTTTTAAAAAACACAAACAGTGTCATCTGTCATCCGCATGTCATCCAACGGATTGTTGAATATTCAAATCTCGTTTTTATTGTGATAAATGTGATTCTTGTCTTATAATCTGTGTTGTGATCCAAATCCAAAGACGATTTAATATATGTGTCATCCTATGCAAATATAAATGTATGTATAATTCTTCTTCAATAACCTATGTATATTCTTTTCAATAATGATATTGTGTATGTTAATAATGAGTCAGATAAATTTTGATATTTTCACGTTTGTATTACTATAGTTAAAATTGTTATTTTTCTTTGGACATTGTTATTTGTATTTTATGTTTTTATATCTCCACCACCACCATAAATAAAACACTTGTACTATATAGAACATTTTTATTTTTTTCCTAGCTTGAGTGAGATTCAGCCTTATTCTATCTTTCTTCTGTCATATGAACTATGAACTTCACATTTGCCAAATAAAATTTTTATGATTTATTTACTCATTGTTAAAATTATGTTATGCAAATGTGTGAAATGAATTACAGCAATAATGGTTTGTTTTATAACCATTAAATTTTAATTCCTATAATTTAATAGGACTTGTTCAAGATGGTGGTAAAAATAAAATTCTTTGCATCCGAACGTTTCGGTTTATTTCATTTCTAAACAATTTTTAACGAATTTAACTTCAAACACGACCAACACACTTGTATTGTTAAAAATGTGATAGATTGAAACGTTCAGACGGATATATTTTTATTTTTACAATTTATCTTGACAGTGTCCCTTTAAATTATAGAGAATTCCTACAATAATTTTGAATTTCCCGCGTCATATAAATTTGAATTTCCCGCTTCTCATTAACAGATTTCTGTCTTCTTTTTTTTTGGCCTTCGTTAAGGTAAGTTACAAAGTTATTAGCATTTAGTGTAGAATTCTACCGTAGAGGGCGCTGTAAGTCGTATCGGCAATTTTTAACATTAAGGTTGGCGATCTTCTTGTATTATAATCTGTGTTCTTCAACCATGATTCTTGTTTTCTACTAACTCTTTTTCGTACTTATATCTTGATTTTTGTTATTAGTTGTAAGATACGATACTCTTTACCTATAAAATGTGACCTAGATTGAAAATTGTTTGACATTTGTGTAGTTGTTAAGAGTTTCCGAATATTGTTAGCCCTTTATGGAACCTCTTTACTTCATTTTTCCACTCTACTGCTGTGGTGTTTACTTATCTTCACTAAGGTTTTGTTAAAGAAAGTTGCTTGCTGGAACTGCTACTATCTCATGTACTGATTCTGCAAGTGAATGCTTCTTAGATATTTCATATTTTCATGCTGTAGGTGCTTACATTATGTCGAATTTGAGGATGAGTGAAGTGTTCTTCCGTGTCAATGATGGACTGAAGTGTTCTTACAAGTCGTATTTGTGTTACCAGTGTTCAAAAAGGGAGCTTTAGATGAAATTGGAAATAATCGTCCAATCTCAATCATTCCCATTTCCGGCAAAATTTTTGAAAGTATTCTAAATGTTCGTTTAATAGAATATCTACAAAACCACAAAATATTTCACTGTAATCAATATCGCTTTAGAAAAAACTGTAGCACTACAATAGCTATAAAGAAAATTGTAAGAGATATAGTTGATGGCTTGGAGGAAGGTAATTTTTTTTTCTTTGACATTGTGTAAAATATACAAAACTATTTTTGTATACTGACTAAATAAATTCTATATTTTTAGGAGGAAGCATATGTTGGCCTGTGCGATCTTCTGATAGTTTTCAGTGAACAATTACAAGGAAGTTCAACATCTTTAAGTGAATTAATCTGTCGACCAGATGTGAATCTTCAGGCATTATTAAACGAATTTGTTCAAACGTAAGTATTTTTATTATTAGACAATCTGTATAAATGCAAATTAAATTGGAATGCGTCATGAAAAATAAACAAAAAGCTTCGTTAGATCACTGAAGTGAAGCAGTGTCGGTTGCGGTTAAAATATGGATGGATGACCGCTGGGAAATACCGCATGTTCTCATGTGAAAACCTTCCTTCTCCGAAACGGCTGGACCGATTTTTATGAAATTTTACATGTGTATTCTGTAAGTCTGAAAATAGGTTATCTATTTTTCATATCCTTTAGGGGTAAAGGTGGTTCAATCCAAACATTTTTTTTTATTTTTTAAACAAATTTTTTTATGATGTGGCATTAAAAAGTGCATACAGCCCTTAATTTTTACCTCTCTGTTATTAACCCTTTTTTAATACCCATATTTGGGTCACAGAGTTAGTTACCATACTCCTCCGAAAGGGTTGGACCAATTTTTATAAAATTTTACATACATATATTGGTAGGTCTAAGAATAGGTCGTAATATATTTTTCATATGATTATGAGAGCTACAAAGAAAGAAATCGGACTGTCTAAACTACGACGATCTCGTAAAAGAAATAAGGATAATGATTTAAAAATTTGCATGTGGAACGTAAGAAGCCTTTATCAGCATGGAGCCACGGCTCGCTCATATAAGAAATGAATAAAGCCAAAGCAGATATCATTGCTTTAGAGGAAATGAGGTGGACTAGCTCAGGCATCCTGGAAAAAATAACTGTAATATTTACTACAGTGTAATCCTAACCGACACGAATTTGGTATCGGATTTATTGTAAGCAGGAAGGTCAAACATAGTGTAATTGTTTTCAAATCTATTGATCATAGCATATGTTGAATAAGATTTAAAGAGAAGTTCGCTAATATTAGCATTATTAGCATCCATTTTTCAACAGAAGAAAAAGGGGATAATGAAAAAGACATGTTGTCTGAGGCCCTAGACCGAGAGTACGATGAGTGCCCAAAAAAAGACATTAAAATAATAGCAGGCGACTTTAATGCCAAAGTCGGAAGAGAGAATATATTTTCGTCCACTGTTCAATTTTTTCACGTGCGAAAAATCATGTCATTTTTTCGCTGTATTATTAACTATCCTTCTACCTCAATTTTACAATCATTACCTTAGTCCAACCCTTGATAACCCTTTCTATTTCAGTTCAACCTCCCCTGCTTTAGTAATACAGACATTTTTAAAATAGCAAAGAAGAAATACTCTCTTGTCTGTTGACTGTCGTTGAGGACAGTCGCTCTCTTTCGTTTGCTGAGTCTCGCTAGGCAGACCACTCTCTCTCCTCTCTCTCTCTCTCTCTTTCTCTCTCTCTCTCTCTCTCTCTCCACTGTACTAAGATAGTGAAACAAACCAGGTGGAAATTTAAAGAGGAGTCAGACAGGGATGTGTGCTGTCGCCACAATTATTTAGTGTGTACTCCCAACTAATATTTCAGGAGGCATCAGAAGCCCAATCTTTAAAAAAATTGGAGGCATTCGAAATGTGGCTATATAGGCGTATTTTGAAGATTCCTTGGACTGCAAAAGTCTCAAATGAGGAAGTGTTAAGACGAGTTGGACATGGCAGAAAGCTTATGAACACAATTAAAATAAGAAAAACATCGTATCTGGGCCACATACTCCGAAACGATAAATACTCACAGATATTTCACGTTGCAAAAGATCGAGAAGCGTTTAAAGAAGTGATCGCCGATTAGAAGACGGCACAAGAAGAAGAAGAAGAAACAGACACTCTTTACTGTTGACTTCCGCTAACTAATTATCTCTCTCCCGCTTTTATTTACTCGAACAATACCGCAAATACTATTTTAAATCGTGTACAGACGCAAAGTGTGCTATATCTCGTGATCTCAGTGTTAGGACCGCGAAACACGTGTTCAGAAACCGGTGCCCGGACAGATTCCTCATATGAAGAATAACCACAGGTGTGTGGATCAGAAATATTAGTAAGACTTTGTATAAACTTAATTTGCTATTGTCTATAACCCTTTACTACATATCTTAATTTATTTGAACCAACCCTATGTAATACAGTCCACATACACTGAAATTCTACTCATAATTTTACATATGTACACCCTTTTTGTACACCCACCATCCGAAAAGAGAGCCTACAGGTAGACTCTAATGATAAACAGTGTCAGAATCATAAACTTTGCAATGTCCAAGAACATGGTAATAGCTGGGACACGATTTACCCATAAAGATATACATAAGGGAAGTTGAAAATCACCTGATAATGAAAAATAATAACCAAATAGATCATTTACTCATAGATGCAAGACAGACAGATAGATAGATCCCGACATTGCAAATGTATACAGACAGCAAATAGAAGATCAAATAAGAACAGAAATAATAAGATGCAAGTCTCAGTTTCAAACAAGTTAATGGTGATGACCAGATTCTCTTAGATACAAAACTGTACTTCTTTGTGTATTTTTAATACCAAATTTCCAGTGATATAATATGAAATATATTTCTTTAAAATAAATAACATTGTAGGTATGTATTTGTTCCCGTACAAGATTCAGAACACGACGAACTTCGCATTGAAGGTCTCCATAAACGGCGTAACTTTTTGGCCGCCTACTGTAAGCTGATAGTCTACAACATAATGCCGACAAAAGCTGGTGCTGATGTCTTCAAACACTATGTTAAATACTACAACGAATATGGAGATATAATAAAAGCAACTTTAAGTAAAGCTAGAGAAATTAATAAAGTAAACTGTGCATTAACTATGTGCTTGAGCTTAAATATGATGTTTAATGAGGTGCAAAAGTCAAGCACGGGAAAGAATACAAGACAACATGAAGAATTCTTTGCTTTAAAGGTAAGTTTAAGAATATTTGTAGTTAAAAAAAAAATCAAAGTCTCTTTTGTGTTATTGCATAATTAGCAAAGTCAAAATAAAAAAAATTGTACTGTTTCATGAAAGTATCGATTTAATTTTACGAGACCATTGTTTAAAATGTCAAAATTACAAAAAAAAATATTTTTAGATCCCCAAAAAAGTCGGCGTCATAGAAGTTTTTACTACTTTTTTTTAAGTTTTTTTTTTCAATATATGAAGCGCTGAATTAAATACACTTTATCTAATTTACTTACCGATGCACGTCATCGGCGTCATAGCCCGTGACATGATACCAACACGAAATATTTAGGCGGTAGATGTGTTCTTTTTTAGAATCACTTTGCCTAGTACACTGGCATTACATCCACTAGACATATTTTATTATATACGCGTAGAAATAATATTTAAATATTTCTATTAATGTTAACTTACAGAAATACACAATAATATGTTTTATTTAATTTGTATAAATGCATTATAAAGCGTTTTTATGAAGAACGTTTGTTCGGAAATTTTGGCATAAATTGGTAACACTTATTTGACAGTTGCGGTGTTGACACTTTTTGTACTTTAATATTTTGAATTTTAAAGTAAATATACTCGGTTCGCTAATGCCAGTCCGAACTGTCTAGTGATTTTAGTAATTATGTTTTTACGAAGTTAGTTACTTTTGACAGACTAGAAGTGGCTGGAAATTATTATACAACCAAGTACACGTGCTCATAGCGCATTTCATTATTCGTTCATCATTATTATTATGAGTATTTCGTCGATCTCTTTTGCAAACTTATACTATGAATTAGAAATTTATAGCATGTATATAGAATGTAAGTTTCTATTATATATAAAAAATATGTTTTATAAAACAAGTTACGGTAATTTAGTTTATATCGTTAGGTTGCGCCAAATGTAGGCAACCAACTTAAACTTTTTGTTAGCATTTAGTTGGAGTTTCTTGAGAATATACTTAATATTTTCCAGTTAATTTATTATTATTTTTAAAGTGATGATAATAATGCTGAATAAGCAATATTTCAAATGATATCTAATCACAGGATGTACTTAATATTGTGTTTAAAGTAGGTTAGATAAAAAATATCATAATATTCATTTATAATTCAAAAATATCATCCATCAAAAATATCCAATATCATGAAAAATATAATTAAAACAAATCATAATCTTCTATTATTCCTATTAGAAACTAGTTTTGGACGGCCCGGATTTTACCTTTTTTATCTAACGTACTTTATTATGAGGATTTTACAATAACACAATATTAAATACGTTTTGTGATTAAACATCATTTGAAATATTGCTTATTCAGCAAATTATCTCTTTGCCTTTGACTTTGACTATCTCTAATAATAAAATTCAAAATAGAACTAACTAATTAACTAAATAGAACTAACAAAGAATTAAACAAAAATAATGGAACAATAAAACTATATTAGCTAAAATAAACAACGCGAATAATACAAATATTTACTACAATATGTTCAATTGTAACAACTCAAATATTATATTTTAAATTATACAGGGAAAATGTTTATGGGTTTAGTATACACTTCCACTATTTGGAATAATTCTTCTTTTTTTAAAGGAAGAAGTCTGCAATAGTAGTATATTTGAGCTATTAATACTGAGAAGTAGGAATTTTTGTGTTGTAGGTTTCCGACAATGAATCTGTCAAAATATGCCCGAGCTAAGCGAATGGAGAATACCTCTTGTTTTATATTTTTACCTATTTAATAAAATCTGTTCTCTTTAGAACAAAATTAGTGTGTTTTATTTCAAAAATGTCACGTACGAATTTAAATAGTCGTTGTAAAGAGATAGTAATACTTTTGCAATAATTATGTGATCTATTTGATTTAAAATGGAGTCAGGATTTTTGTATACTTTGGCAACTATGTCAACTTCGATCTCTGACGTAGATAATGACCAAATATAATAGGTAAATATAATAAGTATACCAAAAAAAGTGACCAAGTCACCAAAAGTCAATTTTCGCAGAAACGTAGACCAATATTGTGACTTGAGCATTCTAAGGCATTTCTGAAATTATGAAACCATTATTACATTGCGACTTGCTCATTTAATGCATCAATACATTTTGCTCCAAATAATTACTTTAAATAAAATGTATTTTTTAGGAATTGGCAAAACGATTTGCGCTGTCCTTCGGTTTAGACGCCGTCAAAAACCGAGAAGCTATTACAGCTTTACACAGAGCAGGTATTATATTTGCCGTAACAGCTTCAGAGAATATATCAGATGATCCGACTGGTCCGCCGCCGAACTTATCCTTTTTGGAAATATTAACGGAATTTACAAATAAATTGCTGAAGCAGGACAAACGAGTTGTCATGGGCTTTTTGGATAAAAGAATTACGACAGGTACAGTTATTATTGTTAGTAATAATAAATTAATTTAATAGTCAGGCTTTGCAGTTCATTTAATAGATATTTTCATCAAAAAATGTTTGTGCGCATGCGTTAGTATCAGCCATTTTTTCTTCTTTTCAATACTTGAAATTTTTTTACAAAGACATTCACATTAGAGTAACACGAGAGTGACGAGAGCTTATACACTTTTTTAGTGGTTTCATCAGAATATATTGTTTAATAGATAATGTGTCTTTAAATTTTACAATTGACTCTCATTGTTGACAGTCATTTTCTCTCCACCACAATAATTATCAAATTGAGAATTTAGACAATTTAGCAAAGGTTTAATGTTATATAACCTATCGGTATTATTTTTTGGCATTAGTGAGTTGTCGTTTGTATGCAAAAATCTTAAAATAGCCTTAAACCCATTCCTTGGCATAATTTTTGCAACAAATGAAACAGATAGATCTTCTTGACTTGACCAATAATTTCGGACTCCAGGAACTATCTGGTAGCCCATTAAAAAGTTTATCCCGATAGAGGTAGAGATAAGAGTTCTTCCTTGGACATATTCAGTTGTTTTCCTTTTGTGTGACAAAGGTTACTCTGATAAGTTATATCTTACAGCTTCTGTATATTGAGGAATTTCTGTGGTGTTTTCCAATTTACTTCATTTTCTTTCTAGACATTCCGGTTCCATGTAGTTATCAGGCTCTTGATCTCGATGTTCATTAGGTTCCTGAATTTGTCGTTCGTTAGATTGGTCATCAGGAACTAATTTAGGGTCTTCATTATTTGTTTCTTGTTCTCTTTTTATTTGTAAATCTATTCCAACAGTATATATATCCAGCTCATCATCGACATCTGATTAAACATCAGTATCTTCTGCATTATCTAATAGGGGCAAAAAATCATCAAAATCATAATTTTCTATATTTTCTATAAATTTTCAATTCGGCATCAGTCAAACCCTTTTGTTTTCGCCACTGTGGACAATGTCTGTAATAAAAAAAATATATTTAAGATATTGCGCATAAGTCGTGACGTCATTAAAGAGTTGCACGTTCGAAATGTCAGTTTTTTGTATGTATCAATAAATAATCTGTAATAAATAGTTTGGAGATATCCTTATGTGTACGATTATTGCAAGTATTAAACCTCTTTACTTATTTTCGTCTATTAATTTCATCACAGAATGCATACAAATCCCATTTAACTTTAACAAGAATTCAAATTATAATCTCCAATGACGGCATGCGCGAAAAAAAAACTATGATTAACGCGCAAAAAAAAACAACGCGCAAAAAAATATGATCTTTTACATCTGATCATTCAGGGAAATATCCAAGATAATCGTGGTCCTGGTAGACGAAGAACATCATGGCTGAAAAATCTAAGGCAATGGTATGGAAAATTAACTACATCGTTATTTAGAGCTGCTGTCAATAAAGTCACGATAGCGAATATGGTAGCCAACATGATATCCAACGATCGATAACGGTCATGGAACTAGAAGAAGAAGAATGACAGCATGCGCGAACACGACCGATTTTGTGCTACGGGAAGATCCTATCTTGTTAGTCATAGAAGCAATGAAAACCATTAATTAGTTAAACAAAAAACTTACCCTGCCATTTTTTATAAACAAAACACTGTAGAGGTTATTTGAACAATAAAAAATACACTTTGAAGGAATCACTTATAGACAGCCCTGACTACCATAACAATGATACAAACAAATGAAGAATTCGCACTTCAGATTGTATGACAGTAACTACAATCAATGAAATCGCGTTGTTCAAGACTAGACTTAGATATACCGCTGGGAAATAATCTCTAACGCTAGTTATAGTAATTTTAATGTAAAATAAATTAAGTGGTATTACGTGTACCGGTGGGACTTAAAGATAGACAAATTATAATTTCGTCTGGGATTCAAAGGGTTAATCAAAACAGTACGAACCTATTATTTCAACATGCGCTGCGCATGCGTTCGCCACAAAAGGGCTATTATGAAGATGACGCATACAAATAGATGTATAAATTAAATTCGTTTTGATCGAAACATGCTGACATTTAAAACGACTTTAGGATTCGTTTTTAGTTGTCCCGACCTAAAAGTGACAGATGACAGAACGTATATTCTGTGGTTTTGACAGTTCTTCCGTCTATGAACACCTATTATTATTATTTTACAACACATTTATTAATTTTAATTCCAAAATTACTTGTGCTAAGTTATACCAATTTTTAGGAATGCCCAGTAGTAGGGGCGAAGATTGGCAACCTCTTCTTTTGTACAGAAATTCCTTATTACATGGAGAGACGGATCAGCTACCTACAACAAGTAAACGGGCTTATGGAAGAAAACGTCAGAAGTCTCCTGATTCTGATCAAGAACCAGACGACTTGTCCGATCAAGAATTTCCAGGAAATTTGTATGGTTAAAAATATGTTTTATTTGTTACGTTTAATAGATGGATCGTATGATTATACTATGTACTTTAATTTTAACTTTGTACACTTTAGCTTTAGAAACTATATGCTTTGTTAAAACAATTTAATATATGTCGTTCCAACTTATGAACTTTTTTTTGAAAAGTTGAATCATACCAGAGCCAATTTGTGAAAACTAAAAAATGGTAATAATATAAAATGTTAACTTGCAAAGTTACGACTGAAGTTTTTTTATTTTTGAAATTAGTTTTTTTAATATGTATGTGGTAAATAATAAATGGTTTTTTCTATTTTCTGTTTCTTATTTACACGATTACGTCACTCTACTGTTAAGCAATAATTGCGTAAACGCAGTTTAGCAAGGAGCTGCAGTGCAAATAGATGGAATGAAAACCAAAGATATAAAAATAAAGAGAGGGGATTATAAAGGTTGTGTGTCCTCTACAATTTTTTTAACATACGGTGTAGGTAAAAGTTTATGGTCGGTATAATTTAATATCTAAAACAGATATAAAATCATATTTTCGGCGAATAGACAAGGATAACAATCATATTTCCACTTGGTCTCCCCTCCACATTCCTCATTCACGCCAGACGATTATTTCCTATCCAGCTTATACTTAAGAAACAGCGGCAGGGTTGCCTTATTACATATTTGAATTAAAACATTGAATTGATTCAAAAAATTGGCGATCAGTGGCGCGGTTATATTGCCATTCAAAACTGGATGATGATATTAAAAATGAAACAATAATTGACACAAATACTGTTACAAAATTTCTTAAATCCATGAGAAATTTACAGATTCGCATTTTTATTTAACGAAATTGTAACCTAATTTCCAATAAAACAAGAATTTTGGCAACATCGCCATTCATCCGTTCTCTTCAATGGTAAACTGCGTACGAGACAGGCCGAACGCTTTGCCAAAGAATATAGACGCTTATAGAAGAATCTCTCACTATTATTTTTGAAAGTCTGCAAAGGATGATCGCACGTTATGAAAAAGAATGAGAGGGTGGATCGAGATTTTAGTACCACTAGAGAGCGGTCATGTCAGCGCTATCATTGCTTTTAAAATATGAAAGAGTGGGGCAACAAATGTTTTTATATGTAGATGCCACGTGGCCGTAGAATAGGATTATTAGGAATTATTAATAGGAAATTTATGTGACGATTTTTCGTTGTATTGGAACAAACCTATTTTTAATTCAAAGTTATAAAATTAAATACTTTGAATATTGTAAATATCATACCTTTTTTAGCTTCAAAATTAAAAATTGAACAATTTAATATATTAAAAATAAAGATTTTATTGTGAAAAAAAAAACAAAAAAAAAGCATCTAAATTTGATTAGGCGTAGATGCAAAGTTAAATAAATAGCTCTCTTCGTACTCCTTTCCCACTTCCCCCTAACTACATCTTTCATCATAGTTTTAAGCCGACTGCCAGGAGTGTTTTGAAGTATAAACCGTAACCAAATCGCCCATTTGAACTGTTCTTCTATAAGCGTCTAAATTATTTGGCTATGCTATGTAACTGTGAAGATAAAAGTTTGATATGCCGACTGTTTATACAACAGAAGAACGGGTACAAATAATAAAATTGTACTCTGCGGCAATTCAGTATAAGAAACTATTAATTTATTTATTTTGGCATTTGAAAACAGGCCAATACCTGTACAAAAAACTGTATTGGCCATTGATCATCAATTTGAAAAGTTTTTCTACTAATAGCAGATGTAAAAAATGCTGCCATCAGATCAACCTCGCGAAAAGAAGATTGAGAAATTAGAGAAATTTAAGTTTATGCATTGGCTGAAGCGACGTGTGTTCAAGTAAACAAATTGCCGATGAAGTGATTTGAATGCACATGAGGAATATTTGAACAGTGAGAAATATTTTGAAAAGAAACAACTACCATTGTTTTAAAGTACAGACAACAGAAATATTTCCTAATGATCAATTTAAATGGATGCAATTTTGTGAAATTATGATGGAGAGATGCCATGCAAATAATATTTTTTTTTTTAAATATTTTGCTTACAGATGAGGCGAATGATTGGACTGAAATTGTTGGAGACCATATTATTGGTCCTTTTTTTATTGAAGGCAATTTAAACGCAGTCAAATATCTCCAATTACTGCAAAATCAAATTATTCCTGCACTTAAACATCTTCAAATTACCTAACTTGAGACTATTTAGTGTTAATTTTTGCTGAACGTTATCATTAGTACAGACGGTACAATAAAATGGCCCCTTTGGTCACCCAACTTGGCTCCTCTAGATTTTTATTTTTGGGGGATGTTAAAAACGAAATTGTACAGGCATTGAGTTCGAGCGAGCCACCAACTTGGAGGAACTGAAGGAAAAGATAATCTAACTTAGTCAAAATATATCGGCAGATGAACTCAACGCCATAAAAAATGCGTTGTATAATAGGTTTTGTTACTGTTCATTACAATTTGGTGGTCTGTATGAACATTTAATTACCTAAGAATTTTATTTGGTTTAGAATTTCTAATTGTTTGGAATTATTTTTAATTTAAACAGTAGTGTTGGAATTATTTTTTATTTGATTTCATTTTTGAAGAACTAACTTTTTATTTTCACACCTACTACCTCCAAAAAATCTAAACGAAAATATGGTTTCAAAGATATTATTTTGAAAATACCAATATCTTTAATTAAAAGACGTAATTTTTCGTTCAGTTTAAATTTAATATAATACACCTACTCCTTCCTAATGCTTTACTAGTACTGTCTTCATTTATTATGCTTTATGAAAGACCAACCTACAAACCCATGCAATATGCATCGCATACCACACTATTTCTGCTCTGGTAGTTACCACAGTATTAAAGTCAAAATGTCGTTACTTTAACGACGCGATGTTGCCAAATAATTTGTATGAAGCTTTTTTATTGTGGCGCCATAATGCAGTTTATTATTTTTATTGGGAATAAGGCACAATGTGACTTTAAAATAAGCTTATTTTGATGTTTAGATTTCCAATTCGGAAATCGTATTTAAAATACGAAACATTAACAAATTTTATTTATATAAGACGATTTCCGAAGTGGAAATCAAAATAATAAATTAAACTTATTGTAAAGTAAAATTATGGCATATTACTATTAAAAAACAGTAAGCTGCCATTTAAATCAATCCGTCCAAATTTAATTATCTTATAACATTGTTCAAATGCTAAAAAGACGATAGGTCAAATAAAACCAATAAGTTTGGCAACATTGAACTGCCCCTTTTTTATTATTTCCATGCATTTTCGACGATATAAAGGGCGGACATAATATACCTCTCTCTCTTTTTAAACAAGTGTTTCTCACCACATCTCACGTAAGGTCGATACTGAGGATAGATTATTACCCAGGCTCTATATTCGGAAGACATCCTGAATGACCTTTGGTGGTCAGAATTATGGTATAAAAATTAATGAAACCTCAATCAACATTCTGAAATATACATACGATACACTACTGATAGCAGAATCGCTTCAAAACCTTGTTAATATAATTGGAAAGCTAGTCAAGAGTACGGTGTCCCACTAAACACGAACCTAATAAAATGTATATTATCAACACAATCTGCTTGGAATACCGGAAATGTTTACATACGATCCATCAGCAATATGAAATATTTTTAAGGGTATTTATTTTTAGAGTATGCCTGGTAAATCATTAAATTCTCCAGCACAACAACTTGTGTTACCTAAATGTATTCCACAAGATCTGGTACATCGGCATTCCAGGATTTATCACAAAATTTGTAATTGATACAATAATTTCACTTCTTACACATTTTCACTTAAAAATACTAAATGCATATTTTGCCTTTTCGCCTGGACGTCTTCGAAGAGAATACACAACAAGTTGCAAATGATAAAGCGGAATTGTCAACCTCGTTTCAGAATAGGATTTTTAAAATAGGATTTTATTTATTTATTTATTTTACAATAAATTTGAGCAGGGTCGCAAAACCCATATGCCCATGTGAATACAATGTTATATAGTGTGCAATTAAATGGTTACATTACAATAGTGACACATTAAGTACTAACTAAATAAATATACAAAAACATAGGTAATAGCAAATGTTTAGTACAAATTAAATGTTCAACTATGGAGCAAATGATCATCCAGTTTATTTTTAAAAATATTGACAGATGGAGCATTTATGATTCAGTCGGAAGGCTATTCCATATCGAGAACACTTGATTACACAGAGAAAAAATTATCTAGTAGTTGTTAAAAAAGTTTCCTTTTTAAACTTTTTTATTTGGACGAATGTGTAGTTTATACAGATGAACTGAGCTCATAAATGATACTTTCTCAAACGTTTTATTTAGTAGATATAATTTACTGTTAGCTTTTTTAGAAATATGCAAAATATGTTCCGACCAATTTAGATTGTTAATAATTATAACACCAAGATCATTATGTGATTTCACTGAGACTATGGATTATTTTTACAAATGTGAAAAACTACACATTTGTTCACATTAAGAGGCAGCATCCAAGTAGAGAACCATTCCGATATGCAATCAAGGTCATCTTGTAGTAACTGGAAATTTCAGTTAACCATTTAACTGAAGGTATCAGAAAATAGCTTCGTGTTATTTGCATAGAAAGTTTTGTTGCATTTAATGTGAAATTGTAGATCACTTAGGTATGCTATGAATAAAAGTGGGTCCAAAACTGATCCTTGCGGTACCTCACTTCAAACCGTTTTCTCAACTGAGAAAGAGTCCCCAACTCTAACACAAAACTTTCTATCTGTTAAATACGGGTCGATCCATTTCAGTAATTGAGCACAGATACCAAGGTGTTCCAATGTATGTAATAGTCTTCGCTTTGGAACTCGATCAAAAGCTTTAGCAAAATCGAGGTAGATAATGTCTACCGGGGCTTTTCTGTCTAATGCTCTTGACCATTCATTGAGACACCAGATAAGATTTGTCATTGTAGAACGTCCTTTGACAAAACCATGCTGCTGTTCTGGTATAACCAGTTCATTTTGCAGAAAATCAGAAATTGTCTCGGCAATAATAGATTTCATTATCTTAGATATTATAGGTGTTAAGCTGATAGGACGATAGTTATTAAGATACAATTTTTTCCCTTTTTTAAAAGTCGGTGTTACAGATGCGATTTTGCAGATATGA